TCTAGCCCATTCTAAATAAACATGACATTGGTCTTCCAAGAAGTTACGGGCAGTGAAACCTAAGAAAACCCGCGTTTTCGGGAAAATGGCTTGAAGAATACCCCTCAAAAAAAGTAACAACGGGACTAATTTTTGAACTGCTGACTTTTCAGGAACGTTTGGTGCTCGTTAGAAAGCTTGAATCCTGTAGTTTGTCATACCGTGTTCAGCTTCCCAAATGAATGACTTTGAAGGAAGTTATGATCGTTTGAAGGTAAAAAAAAGTCGCGGTTCCAAAAAATAGTAACGCAAACCCCCAAAAAAGTAACAACGGGACTAATTTTTGAACTACTGATCTTTCAGGAACGCTTGGGTGCTCGTTAGAAAGCTTGAATCCTGTAGTTTATTATACGTGTTCAGCTTCCCAAATGAATGACTTTGAAGGAAGTTATGATCGTTTGAAGGTCAAAAAGTCGCATTTGCACAGAAAAAAGTAACAACGTACTAAATTTTTATTAAATTAACTTTCGAAGAATTTTTACCCATGGTTGGAGAGAGAATAATTTGAATTTTCCAAATCAAATCACTTCGGCGCAGAAGCTCGAATATGAAGGAAGTTATAGCCTTAGAAAGAGGGGTGTAAAAATTGTGTTGCAATTGAAGAACGTGAAGGATTTCAGTATTTCAATTGGAGCGATAATTTTTTCTGACTTCTCATAAGTTTTTATCAGGTAATATTGTCAATATTCCGGTCACTGGTTCAGTTTATTTCATCTCCTAGTTTGGTAACCCTTTGGAGTACACGGATATCTTTGAATGCATCTCATTTTTTCGTGTTTGGAAGCAGCGATGAATATCTGTCGTGGATTTTGCTAAAGTTTCATCTTTGATGACTTACGTAGAAATAAATATTGATGGTAAACACTGTCTCTACACAAGTGTCACATACAAGGGGGGTCGTATCAAATGAAAGGGGGGGGGTCGTAAAAAATTTCCAGAAGAGTAGCAACGATAGGGTTGACCCTGGTCGGGACCAGCTCCCGCAGCTTCGAGTCGACCAATCGCTCATAGAGCTTTATGTATGAGCAGTCAAATTGATCCAGCGATAGTCATGACGAGATCGTCGTTTTCTGCTCAATTTGAAGGTAGAATTGATTGTTAACGAATTTTTCTCAACTTTTTGAACGACTTATGGGGAGGGGGGGGTGTCTAGCCCTTGGCACTATTGCACTATTACAGCCCTAGTAGAGGTGAGAGTGGTCAAAAAATTTTCGCTGAAACTTCTCAAGGGGATCATCGAGGATCCTGATAACGAATATGAGGTCCATTCGGGCGATGCGCCAAATTGGCGCTGTTTGGCGCCAGAATGCGTAATGGCTGAATCTCACCAAATTAATTGTAAACTTGTGTATAGGAGATATTTGAAACCCGAACCTCATAAATAATGGCGTTCGTTTTTGTAGTTGTCACTATCTGGTGCCTATGTGCGCCTTATCCTGCTCAGTCAATATTAAAACAGCGCGAACG